TTAAAAATATAATTTTTTAATGAAAACGTTGGTTTTTTAACAACTTGAAACCATGTATAAAAATAGATTGACCTGGGCGATAAATCTCTTATTAAATGTATTTTTGTTTACAAAATTGTACAATGTCTAACAGTATAACTCAGAAAAAACTGTATCTTATTTTATATTTTCAAATAAGTCTATGATATTATAATGTGTACATATAATGATACGTATAATAATACACAAAATATGTGGTTTTTATCAATATGATACGAGTGAGATTCAAAATAAGATAAGAAAACATCAACTGATAAGTTAGGCATGAAAAAAATTAAAATCTTATCTTTTTATAATATTAARTCATAAATAAACAGGCCTTAAGTGTGTTAAATTGAGTTCTGGAGTACTATAGCATCCCCCCTTCAATTTGAATTTAGATCATCGATTATTAAACTTTTTTGGCGGATACCTATATCCTTTAGTGGAAATGGGAATCGTACATTTTTCGTTTTTGGTGGATTGAGCTATGATATAAACTGTCAATAGTATTTTGACAGAGACGGGTAACATCCGTTTAATATATATGTGTGAGTACTTAGGTACCTAGGTAATTAATTTTTTGGGTTTATATCGACGCGTGCATTTTAGGTTATGGTATTTATAATAAAAGAATGCTCGTGTTGTACATACCTTTAACATTGACTTCGTTGTTCTGTACCACTTCGCCGTCGTTTATATTGCCGGCGGTTAGATGTTACTTCGATTTGACGCCTTTGGAAGAGGGTTCACTGTTTGGAGCTGTTTATGTAGGCAAGTTTTTAAATATCAGCATCATTATATTACTCGTACAGTCTTGATGTGGTACATTGTCATGGAGATCTGTCGTTACTGATATATCATATACAGAGTTACATGTACAGTGTACCTATACTGTATAATATTGTATTATGAACACGAATTGTTGACATTGTTTTGTTTTTTCCCAGGTATGGTTTCGAGTGCTTTTGTATGGGGTTTTCTCATTGATACGCTGGGAAGACAAAAACTATTATTCTATGGCATACTGTTGAGTGGAATTATGGAGTTTCTTTCGGGACTCGTCCAAAGATTTTGGGTGTTAGTTATTCTCAAGTTCTTCTGTGGAGTCGCGTAAGTATCACATATTAGATATGTTATAATCAGATAAAGTTTAACACACCACACATTATACCTAAAAAATATGAGCAACTCAAACTTCTTAAGGTRTCCCATTTGACACTTTAAAGTTACACTGCTTGTATTGTCATCTTAATGATTTTTTTTAGCCGCAGGCCAGCTAAAATAGATAGGTATGTGAGTTGCAGTTAATTTAAACCATCTTATCCTTTAACTTAACTATTATTCATTAGCGTAGCCAGAGAGGTTGAGGTCATATCCCCTCTATCCGATTGTCAAGAAAATTAGTGTTTCTACCATTCAGTATAGTGTAAAATAATACATTTATAATTAACAATGTATTAAGATAGTAATTAGTATGAATGTTTCGGCAAAAGTCATAAATTTTATAAGCCTATGGCATTAGCACTCAAACTTATGATTAAACGTAGTTAAGATAGGTACCTTTGTGTAACAAATAATCAGCCCTTCTCTATAGTAAAATCCTGGCTACAGCATTAATTGAATGCATCAAATTATTTTTTAGAACATGTGGTCCGTATTCTCTCGGATTTACTTTTTTGTCTGAATTTTATGATAAAGAACATCGAGATAAAATCGTATTGTACGCAGGAGGATTTTCGTCGTTCGCTTTTGTTTTGCAACCTCGTACGTGTTTTTGTTTATTAAATTGTTTTTTTCATAATAATATTTATTAACTAATAATCAATCATTATTGTTTGTATAGTTGTGGCGTATTTTTTGATTCCAATGGATATAAATTTTCAATTTTTTAATGGAAGTTTAATTATTGATAATTGGAGAGTGTTCTTGATGACCTGTTCAGTCATGGTATTTCTAGCTGCATTCTTAGTTTATTCTATGGACGAAAGTCCTAAGTTCCTAATGGCCGTCGGTCGTCATAAAGAAGCTCTAAATGTGTTTCGAAAAATATATTCACAAAATACAGGCAATCCGCCGGAATTGTATCCCGTAAGTATTCAACTTGTCGTATTTTACACAAATGTAAAAATATAAAATTATTGATTTATAAACATATTATTTAGATTAGCATTTTAAGATCAGATATATCAGAAGAACAATCCTTAAAATCTATGCCATCAATAACTGTAAAAAAGTTTATAGAAAAAGGATGGATACAAATAAAACCTTTTTTTTTGCAACCATATTTAACCCCGTCATCATTGACATTCTTGTTGCTATTCATGACAATGTTAACGTGAGTTTAAATTTTTGGATAATAKAAATCAGGATTAGGTTAAGAARTATCAAAATAATTTTATCATACAATTATAGTTTATGTATTATATTATCATATTTATTTACGATACGCTTTTAAAATCTGTATGTGTAATACTCTATTTGAAATCGAGTCCTCAGAATTGTAATTGATACACTTTTAACTTTTTAACTTTTTGTGGTTAGATGAATTTATTTTTATATTAACCAAACATAATATATTGTTTAYTAACGCTTCGATTCAATACAATACGTAGATTGAACACCTTTCGATTACGACTGCCAAATATGTATGCAACAATCATTGCAGCTAAAGGCGACCATACTACAGTATGCGAATCCAGGACTTCAACTAATGTTACTTACACTGCAGCTTGTAAAGGGGTAAACTCCTACCGTAGTTATAATTCGTTTTATTTTTGTTATMATTAGATAAAAACAATATTGAACTTTTTAGACTCTCGCTCTAGTTGATCCAGAAATCTACATCAAATCTATGATTGTCGGATCAGCAGTTTTTAGTATGTTTTGGGTCGCCATATACATAACAAAATACATGGATAAAAATCATATATATAGTAAGTGATAAATAGTATAATATATGTACGAAATATTATTATTATTATACAGAATTAAATTTTTCTAAGCATTGCGTTAGACCATGACAAAAGATTTTTTATAATAACTCAGTATAAATTATTATAATTACTAAATGATTAATGGTCAAAGAGTTATTTCTAACATTAATAATTATAATTTATCACTTTATAATGAAGTATAAATGTTCTTGTTTTATAATGTATGTGTGAGTATGCATGAAATATAAAAGTATCAACAACTAACATATTCAAATTTATTTTCAGTATTTTTTTCAATATTTGGTGGACTTGGTATTTCAATATTTCCATGGACAAATGGAATCGTCACCTTAATTTTTTCAGCTATTTACGTAGGCATAATGAACATAAATACGACGCTAGTAATTAGTATTATGGCTTCGGCTGTTCCTACTACACTAAGGTAAAAGTTGAACGAAAATTCTAATGTAATAAAAATTAAAAATAAACTAAAACTATAATACGAATTAATACCATTATAAACCTATAACAATTAAGTTGATATTTAAATTCAGAAAATGTATAAAATAATCGATTTATTGATTACGATTTTTTCGTAAGTTATATTATTGATTCATTATACATGTGTTGA